TTTCAACATGGTTAGTATCAGGGGTGATGATTGAAGAATTTTAATTAACTGAATTTACATATTCACTGTATCGAGTTATTAATTTTAATGTAGAACCCAGCCAGATTCACTAGGCTTATGTCTGGTGGTCTCCCCGCCACAGTTTTGGACTCAGGACCAGTGTCCTGTTTATCCATGTTCATATTTATCAATTTAACAAGCAAACGATTTTATTTAAAAAGTTGCTAAATATGCGAGTGATTTAACTTTTTACCTACATAATATGACTCGTATACTGATAGCTACCTTCAAACTTAACTCTATAACTGCTTTATTCCGGTAATTTTGCCTTAGTGAAATTTCTGTTTCACTTTAGAGAAATTATTTCGTTTATCTTTTTTATTCTTTACTCGGACACTTGACGATTAAACATCTTTCTTCGTCAGTTACAAAAGCTCATTGCTCAATTCACTGGCTACTCTCATGCAGCCTCAATCGCTTCACCCCGACAATGTGTTCAATCATGTCGTGATGGCCAAGCCAAATGCATGGTCTGGGGCCTCGAGTATTCTGGTTGTCGGATGCAGCCTCAAACGAGTAATATTTGCTGTTGCCAGACTGATTCGCTCACCTCATGTTTGGTCAATTGTTTGGAGGCCGGCTGGCCCTTACTCGCACCGGATAGTCCCAAGGGTCTGGCAAAATGTCTACTTGCCCATTTTTGGCGTTTCATATCCTTCGCTTGTCGATGTGGGCGTGGAGACATGCGTAATGCCCGTTGTCTCTGTCTCGACTCGTCGGTCGATCACCAACCCTTGGATCGTAGTGTAACTCCCATCTCAAAGCAACTTCTTATCAGCCTCGTGCATTTATTGGATACTATAGGACATATCTACTCAATCAGTCAGCCGTCCTTTCCTCTTCCTACTTTCCTTGTCCAGAATCAAAGTTATCCTTCGCACTTCCCTCGAGCTAATCTTCTTATCGATCACTTGCTCGTGCATAACCGATTCAACAACACATTCTTACAATCCACTTCATCTGCACATGCTTCACTTCAATTACAAAACGCACTCGCAGCTAGTATTAACACAACCCGTGAGGGCTCGAACCCTCAGTATTCGGATCAGCATGTTCTCGTGACCAAGCTAAATGTTCAGAGTGAGCAGAAGAGGAGCAAGTCTGCATGTGTCTTAGCTGCTATTGCTTCAAGCCAGAATGAGGTAATTATTAACAAATCTCCCACTTTTTTCCGGAGTTTCACATTTGCACTTTTAGTGATCTAGATGTGTGTTCTGCTTCGCGCTACCGTATAGAATACTCCAGTAATGCAAAGAGAAAACGAATCATGGAGTACCTTTTCGATAGATGCTAAAGGAGAGGATTTATAGTGGAAGGTAAAAACGGTGGCGGAGTGTGGTGTAGGGGCAGGAGAGCGATGTTTGGGAGCAGGGGGCCACAAATGAAAAGAGGAATGGCGGAGAAGTTCTCTGTTTAGGAGGTTCTGGATTTAAAGGATTTTGATGCCATAGTCTGATTGGACTTGAAGCTGCGGCTAACTTGACTGTTCCTTTGGGGCAGGGAATATGAATCATGTTCTGAGTGGTGCTACAGGTATGTGGAGTGGTTACTGCTTCCTATCTGGTTGCGACGATATCTGCTACGAAACTGCCTGTGGAGTCTAGATAACTACAATACTGCCCCCATAGGGGTCGTGGACTATGCTTTTTCTGATCTTAATATGGGTTTGGTCGGCACGCTCTTTGTAATTGGGATGAATTCCGAATCATTGATTCTTGTTGGCTTGAGTCGGTCTGTGCTTGCCCCCTCATGTTAACCATTTATTGGCAAAGTTAGGTGTTTATTGTCTCCGGAATTGACACGAAAGGGGTCATCGCATGGGGCTAATAGTGGTGGCACTACCCGGCCGTCTCTGGCGTATACGTAAGTTATTAGGCCTTTACAAAATGTCTATCTGCAGGTAGTTGGCTTAAGAGGGATGCGGCGTAGTTTCTCCATCGCATCAGTCAGATTTCTAGCGTAATCTTCAGACGGTACGCTAATGTTGGTAGGGCTAATGAAGTCATGTTATTTAAAATGTGTAAACTATTTATGTTGGACTGCTTTAAGCATGGTCCATAAGCTCAGCAGGACTAAAGGCACTTGTCCTGATTCCTCCGGCATCTGAGATAGGCTTTTGGCTGATGGAAAAGTTTTATTAAGCTGTTAATTTTCGGGTGGTAGGCACACGTATGAATCCTTTTCTTCCTAATAATTAAGGTACCTGAGTGAAAAGGTTGGATTCGACTTGCCTGTTTGTCGGTTGTAATGGCTACCGGCGTGCGAAATCTGGAAACCCAGTTTGACAAAGGTTTTGACAATTATCTCATTCTGTATAGCCAGAATTTGAATGGCTTCTATCTATCGTGTAAAAGGGCTAAGGAGTATAAGTCACTACACATTAAAGACCCTGACTTCACTTAATGGTTATGAGGAAGACCTGTTCATTTACTGAGTATCCTTTCAGTATCACTTATTGGTAGATAATATGACCATTATACGTCAGCTTAACTTCATACTAGGAGATATAATAATGTCTCACTTTAATATTCGTATTAGAGGAATTATAAACTACCGGTAAACCTTATGCTGCACTTATTATCTTACTATTTTTTGGTTACTTGTTCGTACAAAATTCCTATTTAAAACATGTATTATTTTACTGCTAGCTAGAGCTATCATTATTGATAAATTTTGCTTTTTTTATACGAATTAATTTTTATTTTTTCCTCACTTAATTGCAGTCGTTGCTTGAGGACCTCTTCGCATTGCTGACAACGTGAATTTAATTTTTTATAATTGTCATTGTTAACATTATCATTTTTTTATCACGTAATTATTTGAGTCCACATTTTTTATTGTACTTTGATTCTTAAATTTAGCTATTATAAATTGATAATTTATCATCTCAATCTTTCGTGTAATATCGTGTCAAATTTCCCATTATCGTATCATCTGGTTTGCCCAAACTTTAAGAAGTTTTTTTAATTATCTTCCCTTGTTTGCTGCTGAGTTTTGGCTAGTTATTAAATTTTTTCATATACTTAGAACATTTTAGTTTTTGCTCGTATAGTAGAACGAAAGGTTTGCCTTCTCTTAGTCTGTGACAATGCTTTATGCTGTAGCCATTATTATACTGGATTGATTAAGAGTTCAAGAAACTTAGAGATTATGTTCGTTGCATAGTAGGTCGATATTTTGCTGATTTACGTTTACCAGGAACTTGGATCATCGTGTGAAATTTGAAGATATCACTGCTAAATTTCTTCGACATTAACTATGAGAATATTTAATAGATGTTCTTTTTTGTCGTCTTAGTCAACTATATTCAATTCAGTATAAATCTACTATTGCTATAACTATTGCTTTAAATAAACTGGAATGGCTGACTAGAATTTTTCTTAGAATCGTTATCCATTGTAAATAACTTAATTAAATATACTGATTGTGATTAGAAGCTGTCAGGATGGGGATTATCGAAGGGGAACAAAGGAGACGGTAAAAAATATTGATATATATATGCATAAAAACAGGGTCTCGAAGGATCCCTTAATAGATTCATGTTGGAGTACCTTTGATTTCATTTGAAGATGCGACTGGAAGGGTTGTGCAAGTTGGTTTCACTGGAGGCTGTAGGAGGGTTGCCTTGGAGATTTGGTCATAGATTTGTGCTAATAGCTCCCTGGCTCACCGCCCTGCGACCCCGATCAATTCTTGCTGAGCTTTCTTCCGTCATGTAACGGACATCGTCAGAGCAGGACATCACGCTTAACGATAATTCACCAAAATCACGAAGGCAAGAAAGGTGGCCGGCTTCAAGCCTACTTCCTTCTCATGGTCCAATTTGGTCCACTTATGCACCTCAAGTTTTAATTGGATGTCCTATGCCTTACCTCTATATTTGCTCATAAGTAAAGTTAAATGGCTGCGGATGACATGTGAAGTGGCTACAGATAAAGCGTGAAATGGATACAATTGAAATCGAACAGCTACACCCTCCCCAAAACATCATGCCTTTGATCCTGCAATGTTAAAGCATGTGATTGCGTTCTATTGTACACGTGTTACGTGAGTGCATTTTTCTTGAAACGAATGTGATATGACAGTCAA